TACTTACATAATTATTACCACAAGTACTGCTTGGGGTAACATTTTTGAGAATCCCTGTGACAATGGCAACAGGGCTAAAAAAGATTCCCACTACTCTGCTGCCAACCAACCCTACACAAAAAGAAATCTGACAAAATGCGAGTGCCTGGGCAACAGTTCCAAGTAACATAATTCGAAAAAAAAAAAAAAAAAAAAAAAAAAAAAAAAAAAAGTTCCCGCTGACACAACCAAAGGGAGCAAGAACACGACTGTGAAGTGAAAAAAAACATAAATATGAAATTATAATGGAGGGGGCTGAGGAATTTAGAACATTTCAGAAAAAAATGATAATGAAAGTAGTGTGCTAATTACTGTATCGCTAACCTCAATTTTTATAATTTAAACTGAGGTTTCCGGTGTTAGTGGTGTCCTGACCTGTCTTACCATGGTAAGTTAGTTTGTATCGCATGTTGCTGGAGCGTCCCTTGAATTGTCGAGGCAGTAAGAAGGAAGGTAGCACCGTTTATTTTACACTAACCAAGAGCTCAAGATATAGAACCAAAAGGTAATGGGTCAGCGAATGTCCATTCAGACATGTATCAAGCAAATCACATTCTTCACATTTACAGTAGTATTGCAGGACAATGTAAGTGTTTCAGTCAACTTTCTTTCATAAAAATTAAGGGTTTTGCTCAATATACTGTACGCTCCCTCATGCCTGTCATTTGTTGCTTCTGTCCATTATAATCAGTACTTTCTACAATTCGTCTATATTTAAAAATTTCATTATGTACCATCCAGTAGGAAACTTGATTTTAAGATGACAATATTTGAGGATGACAGACTAAAAATAATGAAGTATCTAAAATAGGGGTATAAAATAATGGGATTAGTTATTTACATACGTTATTTTCTCCTACATTAATACTAGACTTGTTTGCTGAATAAAATAGTAAACGTACACACGTTTAAAATAAGTAAAATCATTAAATTCTGTAAGTCAAAATATTACGTCAGCAAAAATTATGCATAGATGTGCAGGAAACTTTCTTCAATACACCAAGAGGTCAGAGAGATATGCAGAGTTTGACCGTAACAGCTTACAAATAGTTTATCATAAACTTTTAGGAGGGTCTGACAGCACTTGAACACTTGTAGTAAAAACTGGACAGGTGTCTTGGGCAACATCTTGGTATCTGAGTATCCATCCATGCCCCATCGGTTGCCCGTCCGTTCACTCAAGGAGGGACGGACCCCGCCCCCTGCGCCACCCATATAAAATTGACGGACTGCATTATATCAAGTTGACGGAACGTGCACCTTTTAAGAGGTTGAGGTGGACTCTAAGGCCAACAGCGTACTATTGTGTTTCTTGAAGATCTTAACAAGTGCAGTATGTAGCAAAGTACATACATAAAGATATATCCGACATACTCCTATGTGATTATTTTCTGCTTGCCTACACATAAGATCCTAAGAATCTTAAATATTTCCAGCTTTCATTTCTAACACACACTGCTGCACCATAGTTGACGGACTGATCATAAATTACAAGTCTGTGGTGGTGTCCATTGGCAGTCTCTTCAATGCTGTGACAGCCGAACTAATTGCAAGTCAGTTAACTATTAGTTCTAACCCAACATTAGGCGTTCGATTCCTTAATTCTCTCTAAGGCTTTGAGTTTCTCCGGGTCAAGCTCTGGTGGACCGTCACTCGGGCTAGGAGACTTCGGTGAGGGAATCTGCTCTCCTTCCAAGTCCCCTGCACCTCCCTCTGCGCCCACCATTTCCATCCTCATTTCCATGGGGCCTTCGGGAGCAGGGGGCGGTGGGGGCTGGCGGCCTTCATCGTCGAGTACTAAGGCCTCCCCCTCGCATTCGGAGCGCTCGGCCTCAGGGTGCTGGCTGTCCAGTGGGTCCTGGTCTGCTTCAGCCCTCGAGTCTTCGCCTGCGCCGCCGATCTCTTCCTCGTGCTTCTCAACCATTGGAGTCGCAGCTGTGATGATGATTTGTGCCACGCCCAGACCTGCCCACCCACAGGGAGATAACACAAGTCAAAGCTCACATCCGAGTCGAATAATTCTAACACTTATTACCACTATATATTCCCCAGATGTGTCAGTTACATGTTAAATGAAATGATATTGGTTTACTGAATTTTCAACATTTTCAACCATTGTATAAGGATTGTGAGTTTATCTTACAGTAACATTAATTATTTACTCAGTAAACTTAGAGTAAATATGTGTATGCAAAGAAGCAATTCACTATTTATACTAAATTTATCAACATTTATATTACTTATTTTAACTAAAACAATCAAGCATGGTCTACTAAATTACATAACTAAAACATTAATATTGTCTACAGTAAATGCAAACATAACTAGTACACTTCTTTTTTTGTGAAAAAATCAAAGGTATCCACAAATTTTTAAAAATTATTCATATTTTAAAACGTTAACTTTAGCACGAGTATCTTATATTTTTTTTTGTGAGTATGCGTCCTCTACGAAAGTGAAATGTTGGAGAAACCTATTTCAAGCGTGTCTAGGGGACATTTAAAGGTTCGGGGAGTCTATAACAATCTACACAAAGAGGTCAACATACCAGGAAACGCCCCAACTCTCACAAATTGAGGATCCAATCGTGATTACGTCTGGGCCAAACCCGCTCCCACGGCTACAGTAAAAACAAAATACGGACATCCAAACTACGTGAACCAATTAATCTGTGGCTTAACTTAAGTCCCGCTAACATGGTATTCCCACAAACAGAAATGATACAAAGTCACCCTCAGCTCTTTTAAGCATATTAGGTACAGGAGGATAATTAAAACTGCTATATCAAAGTAAAAAAAAACATTGCAAAAATTCATCACGTGGATAGATATTATTTAATTTCTCAAGCATATTATGATCAAATATAATAACTTTGAATTGGAGAAGGAAAAGACAGTCCTTAGAAACGATTTCTAGTATATAACTCACATGCTGGTTAATGTCTCACATGCTCACTCGTTTAAAGTCACCTCATAACTCAGAAAAGTAGCAGTGACAATAAAATACATGTGAGTAAATTTAATAAAACTATTGCGCAAACCAGCAGGTGACAGACCTGCGAGATGAGTGCAGAGTGTAACGCAAGGAAAGTTTAAGATTGATACTAAAAACACTACTCTTCCACTCTAATTTATTCTACTAACCAGTAAATGATCAATAACTAAAACTATTCAGATCAGTTTACTATGCAGTTAAAAAAGCGAAGAAAGTAAAGCCACTCATGCACGTTTTGTCATCAATTAAATTATTTTCTCAAGAATGGAAGCTACAAGAGTTTTGCAGGAGCGCGTGGCTGTTGCCCACACCCTTACCGTCTCCACTGCTGCCTTCCTCAAAGGGAAGTTTAGACCGTTTCTTCTTTGAGCTGCTCCGCTTGCCTGCCACACCCTGCAGAGTAACAACAAAATAGGGTTAGCAGAGGAGAATATCCCATGCCAAGCTTTCCCTCATAACAACACGTTACTTCAGGCTACGTCCGTAGCTGTCTAGTGCGTCTTAAAAGCTGGTAAGATGCCGGGTCACACTGCCAATGAGGCTTCATCCCCTGTAAGCCATAAGAATAGTAAATGTACACTGATCTAGCAAATACCTTGAGTTAGTGCTTCTAAAATTCATCGCAGGTGGCAAAACAATCTCTGGTATAGCACTAAGCAAGCATATTTATGTGTTCTACATTAGCTCCACAGTATTACTGATATTCGGGAGGTCTTAACTAATGGGTTGAAGATGGCTGCTTCATTTAGATAGCGCATGTGGGCGTCTCGTTGTTTAAAGTGTACTGATCCTCATTCAAGCTTTGTAAGATCCTATTATGCACTAGTACATGTATCGACTGTTGTTAATGTCAAATACTTTTGACATAAATCCAGTATATCAATAAAACGAATTGTTTGATTATTCACTCAGACGGAAAATTGGGGCTGGTTAGCCAAGAATATTGACAATGATTTACTACACAATGTCAGATAATGTTAACTTCACTAGTATGGCACTTAACTTCCCTCCATCCAATACCATTTGAAGTTATTCTTACATAAATTCAAAGACATAAACAGTGATTTGTTTATAACTTGTATGTATTAAATTATTATATTTACGTGAGGCCCTAAATTCGTATGGGTCATTCAGTATTAGTAGTGGTGGAGGCTTGATCCTCCGTACGTTAAGCGGGAGACAAGCACACAACCTAGGTGTACTCATCCAGTTCCTAAATGTATTAACCGTAAATTCTTAATTTTCACCAACGAACATATAAGGTTTAAAGGAAGAGGAACAGGTAATATAAAGCACTTAATTAAACACTAATTCAAGATAATTATCAATGTTGGAAGAGTGAGGAAAACATGCAAGCTCTTACCATCATAACCATGACACACCTTGCACAATACTTTATTACAGGCTCCCTGATGAACGGTGCTTCACACATGCCACCGACTATACGAAACTAATCATGCAGGTTCTAAACTACTGTAATATACTCCATATCTACTGCGTCCCTAAGTTCAACTAGAGGCAGATCAGCTGTTCCACCTGATGTTGCTTCACCTGTTGTGCCACCTCCACAGGTTCCTCCACTTTAGGTGGTTCTGGGGCTTGTGGTTGAGGTGGTGGCGGTGGTGGCGGCGGTGGTGGTTCCTCCACCTTCGGGAGAGCACGTTCTGTAGGGTTTTCTACCTGAGGGAGACGCTGAGAGACCTCCTCACCCAGCTAGACACCCCGGCCGCAGCCATCACGGTCAAGAAGGAGATGGAGAAGTAAGGCGGAAAAAAAGTTTTTTAAGTTGGAGAGAGCATCAAGATAATAAATTGAAGAAAGCGTAAAGTTTAAATACTAAAGTCAGTATCAAGTTCAAATGCTTAAGACAGAATCAAGATTAAATGTAAAAAAATGAATTGAGATTAAATAATGAAAACATATTTAAGATTAAAAGTAAAAGTTGGCATTAAGATTAGAGTAAAGTAAGTTACAAGGTAAAGTAAGCAGTAGACAAAAAAGATCAAATATGTAAAGCAACAGCAATATCAAATTTATCATTAATTTAAGTTAAATGAGATGAAGAGAAACAGAGGTCAGGTCATACACCAATTTGAAATTTATGAATCAAATTAAAAATACCAAAATACGACAATAGGGAATAATTTGTTATTAGAGGTACTTGACCAGTTGTGACTGTAAACACAAACACTGCTTTGGACAGTGACTCACTTGCCAAGACTAAAGATACTCAAGCCAGTCACTCACTGATGATTTTATATGAAATGGAAAACCTGCACACCGTATTTTCCGGCATGTAAGGTGCACGAGCATATAAGACGATGAATCCAGGTATATTTGTAACGTAACGTTAGTAAACAACTGCTAAAGCGTAGCCCAAAACCTACCTTTGACCTTGACCTTCAGCATATAAGGCGCAGGCTGATTTTCCCAGACTATGGAAAAAAAGCGAGCCTTATATGCCGGAAAATACGGTAGTTAGCAACGTTTTCGTTTCCGAAGCATTTGTTTGGAAATGTCGATTATTTCCAGTAAAATTCAGACATATGTGCTAAAAATCACTTGATCAACACTACTTACGCACACCACAAACCCCACCATCAAACTCAACCACTTTTAATTTTCTAACGATCCATTATGCCTGTCATTACTAGTCACATCTGGCATTACATCACATATCATCCTTCATATTCCTCGTATCAACCATCCATTGCTAATTATATAACTCAATCACCACTCACGTCTCATAATTCGTATCATCTGTCAGAAACTGAACGACCATCACGTAACTCATCGTCTATCACATAACGACCACTAGTGACATAACTCATATCACACAATGACTGCTCACATCACGTTAACTCGCATCAAACATCAGATCACATGTATAACCATTCTCATTACATTACTCACAACCACTCATATCACTCATATAATCATTCACATCACTCACATAACCCTTTATAGCCTCATAAACCATCACATCACTTGCATATACCACCACATCACTCACATATCCCACTACATAACTCACATACATCATATCACTCATATAACCCTTCACATCACTCATATAACCATCACATCACTTACATAAATTATCACCTCACATCACTCACATACCCATTACATCACTCATATAGCCCATAACATCACTCACATAGCCCACCACACCATTCACATATCACATCACTCACATAACCTATCACATCACTCATGTAACCCATAACATCTCTCACATCATCCTATTACTCATACTCTATTATATCAGGGGCCCGAGACTGTTCAACTGCCTCCCAGCATACATAAGGGGGATTACCAATAGACCCCTGGCAGTCTTCAAGCTGGCACTGGACAAGCGCCTAAAGTCTGTTCCTGACCAGCCGGGCTGTGGCTCGTACGTTGGATTGCGTGCAGCCAGCAATAACAGCCTGGTGGATCAGGCTCTGATCCACCAGGAGGCCTGGTCACAGACCGGGCCGCGGGGGCGTTGACCCCCGGAACTCTCTCCAGGTAAACTCCAGGTTGCCCATCCTATCACTCACATAACCAGTCACGTCACTCACATAATCTATCACATCACTCAATCCATAACGCCACTCACATAGCACAACTCATCACGCCACTCATTACTCACAACCTATCACATCATTCATATCCCATCACTCACATAATCCATCACATACTACATGACTCACATTACCTATTACACCACTCACATAATTTACATCACTCACATAAACCATCACATCATTCACATAACCAATCACAGCACTACATTACTCATCACACTGCTTACATAATCTATCGCATAGTTCACAGTCTATCATTAGACATTACATTACTCACAAAATCTCACATCTTTCACATAACCTTTCATATTACTCATTCAACCCATCGCATCACACACATCGCCCATCACATCATTCACATATCCCATTACATCACTCACGTCATCCATTACTTAACACAGCCTGCATATATTCATGGTTTTCTGACCTGGAGTGTAAAAATTCCAACGAGATAAATCTAATGTAACACAAGACTCAGGAAAAAAATCCGTGCGAAGGATAACCTAAAATTTTAACAAGAACGAGCACTTCTGCGCATTAGACAAAATGTATAATAAATACCATTGTTTGTATTGGACTGGTGAAGCCACTGTGTGGTAAAACTTTATGATAATAAAGATATCCAAGTATATCTAATTTATCAACTTGTCGGTTCTATGAGCCATTTATCCAAACAAATACACGCTGAAAATTATTATATAATGATTTGCAAATGCGTTAAAAGATTATTTTGCCTGTATATAATGTTCCTGCATCACAATGGAACCTCTGTTACGAGAACCACCTCAATCATAGCCTCTAGAATTAGTTTAGCGAAGGTAATGTTCCTTAGTGAAGCAATTTTTTTTGTTATTCTCAATAAAGTTTTCACATTAAGCCATATCTTCTCTAAAACAGAATGATCAAAGCAAAAAAAAAAAAAATGTACGTCAAGTGGGTATCATGTAATTTTTACCTATCCTCTGCAAGTAAAAAAAAAAAAATTACACCATACTGTGAGAATGCGTCTTTTAAATCTGATGCAGATTCGGTGTCTGTAGCTCTACTAAGACAGACATTTAGAGAATACTAAGAACACATGACTTCCAGATCAAAGCAACACAGCCTCTTTAGCGTCATCAATCACCTGTGAAAGTGTACAGCTGTCACGAAAGCGATCCCTCTAGAGGTCTATCAACAGTGCATTTCCTCGAGAGGTTTATCACGGAAGCAGGAAATTTATAGGTATACGAACGATGCACTGTATATCCAGAGATCTATTATCGATGTATGGCCTCTAAACCTTTCTATCATGGAAGAAATCAGGTGATATATTAGTGAAGGAGCACATGAACAGTGCGCTACAGCTCTGAGTCTTCTACGAGCCCTGCCACAGTTACACCCGCCGGCTGCTACACCTAATCCTAACAAAGCCTCTAGAAATTTTGACAAAAGTTTATATTTCATACCGTTGAAAAAATGCCCGTTGATGCTTCTAAAATCCAACTAAAATTAAACAAATAATAATACTGTACATTAAAAAATATATCTACATCAAAAGCTGAACTGATGACTAATTTAGCCAGTAGTTTGTGTGTAGATAATATATTTGTCTTCAAAGTGAAGCGCTAAAAATAAGTTGTAACAACAATAACAATTGAAACAAAATGTTACACCCTAACAAGAGTTCCAAGACCAACGGTATATTAAAAACTTTGTACTTTAATTTCCTGAGAAAATGGTAACAAATTTATTAAATAATATATTTTCCTAGTAATTTCTATATATTAAATTAGTAATTTACAAAAAATGAAGCTTCTACTTTCACATATATAAAAAAACAGATCGACCATTTTGGTAAAATAACGATAAAATACTACAACAATACGTATTAATAAAAATAATTAATAACAATAAAAACGTAAATATGTATAAATGAGACAGGAAAAGAGCAAAACTTTGGATTTATTTCAACTAGAAATGTTTGAAGCGCGAGAATGATGACAAGGATCAAATGTTGTTGTTCACCTTGAGTGGTGAGACTGGTGGAGTGACAGCCGGGTGCTCCAGCTCCTGGCTCTCCACCTCACCTCCCTGAGGTGGTGAGACTGGTGGGGTGACAGCCGGGTGCTCCACCTGCTCCAGCTCCTGGCTCTCCACCTCACCTCCCTGAGGTGGTGAGACTGGTGGGGTGACAGCCGGGTGCTCCAGTTCCTGGCCCTCCACCTCACCTCCCTGAACACCAACAGCGTCGTAGTCACAATATGGATAAAAGATGCCTTTGTAATATGAAGAAAAATGAAATAAGCGCTGCTTGAAGAAGACAAGTGAAGTAAGCAGTAACAGATATATTAAAGATAAAGACTGAAGAAAAATATAGAAAAGGGCAGAGGGTAAAGATGACATGAGTAGCTACTGGTTAGTGAGAACTAGCGAGTAAAGTCAGTTGTAGGTGTAAGCTTCTCGTCCTTCGCTGTACTTGCATCCTAACACACACTCCTGCCAACACCATCATACATTTACTGAACAACATCATGGACCCACGTGGGTAATACGCCATGAACACAAACAATCGTATTTCCTTGATAAAAATTAATAATCTTCGATTTTTTTTTAAATCTCGACTTCACCCACAACATTCCCCAGAGAAGGATTCCTGATGCTAGTGAGGATCTCTTCAGTCAAATAATGGACTAGTCCTCCCCTTCCATGGCTCGCACCTGATAGCCTTACATTATCCAGATGCTGATGAACCCCTCCGTGTTTAGAGCTTTCCTATATATATATATATATATATATATATATATATATATATATATATATATATATATATATATATATATATATATATATATATATATATATATATATGTCGTGCCGAATATGTAAAACTGGTCAATTAGCAAGAACTCATTTAAAATTAAGTCCTTTCTGAAATTTTCTCTTATACGTTTAAAAATATTTTTTTTTCATTAATGTTAATGCAAAACTTTAATTTTGCACCAAAAGAATCTTAGAAAACTTACCTAACCTTATTATAACAATAGCAATTTATTTTAGCCTAACCCAACTAAATATATTTTAGATTTGTTTACAACAATTTAATACTAAACAAACCCAGTGAAATATATTTTTTTCGTTAGGTTAAGAATGATTTTGGCGAAATTAGTGCATACACAAATTTTCACTAGTCCTATATAGCAAGATGAGCGTTGCTATTTAAGCCAAGATCGCAAGTTCTGCCTATTCGGCACGACATATATATATATATTATATATATATATATATATATATATATATATAATATATATATAAATAAACAATATATATATATATATATATATATATATATATATATATATATATATATATATATATTATATATATATATATATATATATATATATATATATATATATAATATTATATATATATATATATATATATATATATATATATATATATATGTATGTATGTATGTGTACCGAATACATAAAACGCGATTTTGGCTCAAATAGCAACGCACTTCTTGCTAAATAGGGTAAGCGAAAATTTGCGTATGCAATAATTTCGCAAAAATCTTTGAACCTAACGAAAAAAATATATTTCATTGTGTTTGTTTATTAAATTATCGTAAACTTAGCTAAAATATATTTAGTTGGAGTAGCCTAAATTAAACTGCGTTTGTTAAAATATGGTTAGGTAAGTTTCCTAAGGTTCTTTTGGTAAAAAAAATTCGTTAATTTTTATATTAATAAAAATGAAAAAAAATATATCTTTAAATGTATAAGAGAAAAATTTAGAAAGGATTTTAAATTAGTTCTTGCTAATTGACCAGTTATATATATATATATATATATATATATATATATATATATATATATATATATATATAATATATATATATATATATATATATATATATATATATATATATATATATTATATATATCTTGGGTTATAGTAGAACGTTATCAAATTCAGGTTGGCATTATGGTATTGAAAGATAAGTTAATTTTACGTTTTAAGTGATTTAATGCTTACAGTATTAAACTAAGACTGAGGTGATGGTGTAATAAAATCACAATATATGAGACGTTCTTTAAATTTGCCTTGAGAGCGTGAGGAAGCGTAGCATCACAGTTGCTGGAAGACTAACTCATGCTCGCTGTTACAGAGGAATACAGAGTTAATGCATTATATTTATCATACTGTATTTCTTATAGCAGTGAGGTTTCCATCATGTGTGTGAGAGAAGCGTTTGTGAAACTATTACTCTCACACGTGCGAGGCTTGTGTGATAAAGAGTGGACCACACATACACACACACACACACTTTCTCAGGCGTGTATGAGGCAGACTTAACCAATTTTCTTTCATGCGTGAGGCAGACTGGTCCAACTCTCAGGTGTATGAGGGGCGTGTGTGAGGCAGACTGGTCTAACTTTCTGTGCCGCTTTTAACTCAATCTGTAATGTGGCTTTGTTTTGTGTGTGTATGTGGGGGGAGGGGGGTGTGCACTGATCTACAGAGCACAGTCTCAAAGTAATGGTTCTTACGAGACAATACAAACTTCAGGTCGTGGCCACAACATGGATGTGATATAAAATACATGTATCCCAAGAAATCACTATAAGACAGATTTTATACACTGTTCACTGGATATAACTGCCTTCCCCTCAGCATTATCTTCGTTCACTGCCCTGGACCCAGACACATCCAGATCACCAACAATACTCCATGTCTTTGCTCCGGGCGTCTATGACTTAACTCTTCCCGAATCTTCTGGACGACAGGATTTACAGGTGCATACTGCGCCAGGACCGACAAAAGCACTCTGGAGTTTCAACAGACGTTTTTTGTAGAACCTACAAAAGCGACCGTGAGAACGAGAGCAACTAGGGTAGCTTGAAACTCTTCACCAAGCACAAAACTCGCTTTTATACTGGTCACAATTGTAGTCCTCGGTGGAGCTCTAGCTGAACACTCCTGACCTTCTAGAATCCCAGCAGCTCTAGCCAAACACACTCAAGCAACCCAGAAGCCCAGGAGCTCTAGGTGAACACACTCATGTAACCTAGAAGCCCAGGAGTTCTAGCTGAACACACTTCTGGGATCTAAAATCTGTAGCTCAACAACCTTAAATTGTAACACACTCAAAACCCTCAAGATACTTTATGATCGTAGCTTTGGAACCACTTGTGATCCAGAAGCTGTAGCTCAACCTCGTAAAGAGACACGGGAACATCATCTCGTGGTTTGTTTATAATCGTATTACGATTTCATGAATCACTATCTCAATACTTTGAGGTCCAGGAACTATGGCTCTTAACTCCAAGAGATCAATAAATTGTAGCTCAACACTTTAAAGAAGTTGTTGCTCACACTCAGGAGGTCCCAGAGGTGACGGTCAACCAGCCATTTCAAAGGTAAATATTAAGAATAATCTGTAAGGTCCTAAAGGATTATCTCAAAATTCTTCAAACACATAAGTACACCATTAACAGAGCTTAAAGCTCAAGAGGCCCAGGAGCTGGAACTGAATCCTCTCTAACACTGGTAAGATATGTGATCCATCAGATGAGTCATTTTAAAAATATGCTTAAGAGACCCAGGAGCTTGAGATCACCCCTCCCCTCCCTTTCAAGATACTCAGGAGCTGGAAATCAACCCTGTTAATATCAGTTTATTAATAGAATACAATACCGACAAGCTGAATTAAGAATAAAGCACATATGCAATACCTAGGTATCTTCATTTCGATACGTTTCACTAACTAGTATAGAGTTAAAAAAAAACTGGTTGGTGAAACCTCTTCACAATAAGATACCCAGGTGTTGTACATGTGTCTTAGTCATCAACCTGTCAAACACTGCTGACATTTCAAATAAATCAGACAAGGCATTGTAACGACATTTAATATTTCAATATACATGCGTTTTTAGTCCCTTAGGCTGACATTTTCTGAGAGGAAACTAATTAGTTTGTTGCTAGGAAGTGTCTGTGAGTGCTAGATGCTCTCACAGAAACAAGAAATAATAATTTTCAAAGGGTGTTAGACTGCTGACTACAAGTCGATCTTATGAACCTAACAGCTTTTACGCCCATTAAATCACTGTATGAACCTAACTAACCACACTCACAAATCAGCCGTTTAAACTTACAAATCTACTGCCCACATTCACAACCTTTCTGCCCACACCCCCAACCCTGCTACCCACACTCACAAGCCTGATGTTCACAGTCGCAAGTCTGCTGCCCTCCATTAAAGCCGGATATAGCATTCTCGCCCTTGTGGCAGAGATGCTATGTTGGTGCATGCCTGGTAGGCCTGCTTTGGAGTCCAGACATCCCTAGGCCTCTGGTTTACAGTCAGTTTTCAAGGTGACGCTAGATGGAGATAGATGTGTAGGAGCTTGTTTCCCTGTTTACGTTTCCACTTTTACAATAAACGGCAGAACTGGGGAAGCCTTTTCTTGTAACCCCCGATATGTCCCCAGCTGTACATAACACAATGGTGGCAACAGTGGGATTAAACCCGTGGATGGTCAAAGACCATCTCACTATACGTCCAGTAGGTTGTTTATTCTGAAACAGAGGAACTGATGGTGCATGATCTGTCCAGATATGGACCGGTTACTGGTATGTCACGAAAATGTTTAAGGCCTAAATTATGGCTAATGCCTCCTGCTCTGTGACTGCTGATCTGTTCAGGCTTAGTTAAGACTCGCCTGCAAATGTAATGGGATTGCATTTGTCATCTCCCTTTTGTGCTAGGTTTATCAAAATTGGAGAACGTAAGAACAGGAAGCAGAAGTAAGCTTTGACTTAAGTACCTAGAATGCTCATTCTTGACTGAGGGTCCAACTGAATGAACCATCCTGCCTGAGAAAATCTGTCAAATTAGCTGCAATATATGAAACATTTTAGATGAAGTGACAAAGAAGCATACGGCTTCGGCAGTCTGAGATTGGGGAAACTGTGGATGGCGGCTACTCTAGTCAGCCATAACCACTCTAGGAGTGACTACATAACCAAGAAACATCATCTCTGACTTCAGAAATTGACACCTAGAGAACTTGATCTTTAGGCTGGCATCAGTTACTTTCTGCAGTATCACAGCCAATCTCTTGAGATGTGTCTTCACATTGCTGGCCATGAGAGACTTACCAATGAGACTCCTAAAGATATACTATTTGACGTGAGTCCTGAAAATGTCATAGGATTGGACCGTAACCCAAATGCCATACTGTCATGAAAAGGGGCTTACCAAAATCTCCTGTAACAAGCCAATCATCAAAAAAAATTTATTATCACTGATGCTCTGTAACAAGCCACTCAGAACAGGCAGCATAAAATGATCTGGAATTGCGTTTACATTGAATCAGCGAAAGTCTATGGTAGGGTGCGACTTCTATCTTTCATGGGTATGAGTATTCATGACACATTCCATGAAAGACTTCTAGGAGTGACAACCTTATCCTCCAGCATCTTGGTGCCTAATTCCTCATCATCTGCGTATTATGAATGTAGCAGCCTGTAGGCAGGTATATATGGGTCTTATTCCATACTGAAGATGCGATGGGATATTAGATTTTTAAGTCTTCTTTCTGTTTTCTAGATAATGCTACCGATTTTCTTTATTTGTTCAACATTTGCAGGAAATCAATAACCGAGTCTGGAAAATCTGTAGGTAATAGGTGTTTCTCTTCCAACGGTACAATGGAAGGACTCTCGGAAGAGTTCTTCCCCACAATAATAACACCAACCTACTGGTTAGGGAAGGGCTCATGAATTTGCTTCGAAATTTACACCCTAGCTGCAAGCATTTGTATGAAGTTTCACTAAGTGTTAGTGGGATTAGCTTCCCTTATGTGTACTTTTCTCTTTGCAATTTATTTTGTGTCCTTTTTATTTCTTGCAACTTCCTGTTGAGAAGAGACAGTTACTCAAATGACTTTGATTCATTTGGGAAATTGTTCTCTGTTAGCATTTGCATTTTTGCACAGATTTATTGTTTCCAGAGTCGGGTTCTCTTCTCTTGCTGCTCTCCTGCACCATGCTGTGTAACGTGTTATCTTTTTTTTTAATCTTAAGTTCCTTACCAGTTTGGCCTACTTAATTTCAAGGCTCTTCATTATCCTTCTGTATTACTGTGCCTGTAACAATGTCCGGTCCAACATTTGTACCAAGCACCACCCCTTTTCGTTCTATTATTCTTTATTTTTGTGTAGAACAAGTCCTTTCCCTTCTTCAGTCCCTGCACATCTTTATTATTCTTATTCTTTACGAAATTACTATAATTTTTTAAGTGTGTACTAACTAGTGTTGTTGTACAATGGTATACAATACCGACAAGATGAAAACTGAGATTCATGTGCAACATCTGGGTATCTTTATTGTAGACGTTTTTTCTTGTCGGTATTGTATACCATTCTTTCACAACTTGTCAGACATTGCAACATCACGGAATCTTTGTTCAAAGGACATCTACATGACCTTCTTCACGGCTACTACAACTTACCCATCCCTCTGGGTATGACCTACTTCCACTGGGGAATCCCGCGTACCAGTGACTATGCCCTCGTCTGCTACCCGTCCCAATCCACCTGGCGTTAGTATATAAGCGCCAGTCTCCTTGCCTCTGCTCCAGAATCTTCACGACTACGGTGCTCTTCACACCAACTCCAAGGCTGAGGGGCTGATTACCTCATCTTTTGTATATAGTTCTACTGTCTTCTAATTATGTCCTAGAATTTGTATTGATAAAGCCACTGGATGGCTAAACGTCTACAATAAAGATGTTGCACATGTGTCTCAGTTTTCATAGAGTGTTGTTGTTTGTATGTGTCATCTTAACATGGTATTCAATATATCAACAAATTTTATTCTGAAGAATAACGTTACCGTAAGTAGTAACTGGTCTGAAATTATAAAATATTTACTTTAAACTGAAGGGCGGACGTGTAAAGGAAGACACTTAAACAACAGATGAATGTGTGAGAGGAAACACATCCAACATTAATCCCACATTCCACCTTCCCATGGGAGGGATAGGGTCTGCCAACTTCCCTTAGCTACGAGAGAAGAGACCCAGGAGTTACAGTGCAGCAGTGATGTTAAGGGCGTGGTGTGGGGGACGGGTAGAATGGGGACATCAAATACACCTCGACATTGATGTAAGGGTGGAGGAGATAAGGGGAATTAGGAATTAATGCATAACTTCCAAAACCCTTTACGTAGGTAATGATAGTGGAGAGTCTTTCAATCCAAGGATACTCCCTCACGGCTAGTACCAGCTGATGGAGACTCCAGGGATACTGTCCCTCACGGCTAGCGCCGGTTGATGGAGACTCCAGGGATACTGTCCCTCACGGCTAGCACCGGTTGATGGAGACTCCAGGGATACTGTCCCACAGGGCTAGTACTAGTTGATGGAGACTCCAGGGATACTGTCCCACAGGGCTAGCACCAGTTGATGGAGACTCCAGGGATACTGTCCCTCACGGCTAGCACCAGTTGATGGAGAGTCCAGGGATACTGTCCCTCACGGCTAGCACCGGTTGATGGAGACTCCAGGGATACTGTCCCTCACGGCTAGCACCAGTTGATGGAGATTCAAGAGACGATTTACTCAGAATAATGTAAAACTAAGACTTTCGTAATAACGTACAGCTAAAAGTGTATGAGTGCTAAAGACATACATACACAATAAACCTCAAAGTACAGTGCATCATGAAGGAGAGACACCTTGATACATTTCGCTCTGGCAAGCCTTGATAAAGTTCTACACAGGAGTGAAACATTGTGTAGAGCTTGTTCCACAAAGTGTCTTTCTTCACTATGTCGACAGTGTATTTTCGATTCTGTAGTTTAATATATAGTAATTTGAAACTGTTTAATTTGTATCTTTAAAGTCTGTTCATTCTCCTATTTATTGCAAGCAAGTGAGGAGTTTAGGAGCTAGCTAAATAAGCTATTAAGGCAAAGCATTTATATCGGGGAGCTGACGGATGATGAGGGAACATGAAAGCTAACGGAGACTCGTGTCCTTATGACCACTGATGCCTGTATATGGTCTTAAGTCATCAACAGCAGCACATCTACCAATGTGTTTGTGTGTATGGGGGATGGGGGCTCAGATCTTGTAATAACGTCATACACGAAGGTGGAAAACTGTGCCCGAGGGATGATGAAAGCAACACAGGCTTGTTTAAGTGTGTAAGCTTGTGCAAGCACGCATGTGCATGTAGCGAGAGGGAGTGGGTGGGAGGGGGATGTGGGAGTAGGGGGAGAGGGAGCGGTAATTAGCTGTCAAAGTCATCACCTGTTGGGAAGGTTCTGAGAGAGGTGGGGATCCTGGTGGCTCGCACACCTCCACAACGTGAGCACGCGTGAGCTCGCATCCCTGAATGTGGAGAAAGTTGAAGGAAAGATAATGAGTAGAGAGTAATAAAGGAATGAAAAAGAGACACCCTGAAAATAAAGGTTATTGTATAATAAAACAGTAAATAATAATCAAGCAATTTTTTTCGGGGCATGCCCTTTTGCTGCGTTAGGTTACCATATCTTGTGTATCACATACACTGTTTTGGAATCTCCGAGCTTCTTTAAGTTGTAAAAGTATAATTTTAATTTAATATTTGGTTGCATAAAATATTACATGATCGAGTAATTTTGATATTAAAAATATGTCGTATTTAATATCACTAAATAAGACATCAAGGCTCTGTCCGTAAGACACAGACACAGACACAGACAGACAGACACACACACACACACACACACACACACACACACACACACACACACACACACACACACACACACACACACACACGCACAAAAAAAAAAATTATAACAGGGGGGACTACACAGGTATGAGGAACTTCCTGCAGGAGGTTCAGTGGGACAGAACTCGTAGGAAAGTCAGTAAATGAGATGATGGAATATGTAACAACAAAGTGCAAGGAAGCAGAGGAAAGGTTTGTTCCCAAGGAAAATAGAAATACGTAATAGGAAGACCAAAGCGAGTCCTTGGTTTACCCGAAGGTGTAGGGAGGCAAAAACTAAATGCACCAGAGAATGGAAAAGGTACACCTGGAGTTTACCTGGAGAGAGTTCCGGGGGTCAATGCCCCCGCGGCCCGATCTGTGATCAGGCCTCCTGGTGGATCGAGCCTGATCAACCAGGCTGTTACTGCTGGCTGCACGCAAACCAACGTACGAGCCACAGCCCGGCTGGTCAGGAACAGACTTTAGGCGCTTGTCCAGTGCCAGCTTGAAGACAGCCAGGGGTCTGTTGGTAATCCCCCTTATGTATGCTGGGAGGCAGTTGAACAGTCTCGGGCCCCTGACACTTATTGTATGGTCTCTTAACGTGCTAGTGACACCCCTGCTTTTCATTGGGGGGATGTTGCATCATCTGCCAAGTCTTTTGCTTTCGTAGTGAGTGATTTTCGGGTGCAAGTTCGGTACTAGTCCCTCTAGGATTTTTCAGGTGTATATAATCATGTATCTCTCCCGCCTGCGTTCCAGGGAATACAGGTTTAGGAACCTCAAGCGCTCCCAGTAATTGAGGTGTTTTATCTCCATTATGCGCGCCGTGAAGGTTCTCTGTACATTTTCTAGGTCAGCAATTTCACCTGCCTTGAAAGGTGCTGTTAGTGTGCAGCAATATTCCAGCCTAGATAGAACAAGTGACCTGAAGAGTGTCATCATGGGCTTGGCATCCCTAGTTTTGAAGGTTCTCATTATCCATCCTGTCATTTTTCTAGCAGATGCGATTCATACAATGTTATGGTCCTTGAAGGTGAGATCCTCCGACATGATCACTCCCAGGTCTTTGACGTTGGTGTTTCGCTCTATTTTGTGGCCATAATTTGTTTTGTACTCTGATGACGATTTAATTTCCTCATGTTTGCCATATCTGAGTAATTGAAATTTCTCATCGTTAAACTTCATATTGTTTTCTGCAGCCCACTGAAAGATTTGGTTGATGTCCGCCTGGAGCCTTGCAGTGTCTGCAATGGAAGACACTGTCATGCAGATTCGAGTGTCATCTGCAAAGGAAGACACGGTGCTGTGGCTCACATCCTTGTCTATGTCAGATATGAGGATGAGGAACAAGATGGGAGCAAGTACTGTGCCTTGTGGAACAGAGCTTTTCACCGTAGCTGCCTCGGACTTTACTCTCTTGACTACTACTCTTTGTGTTCTGTTAGTGAGGAAATTATAGATCCATCGACCGACTTTTCCCGTTATTCCTTTAGCACGCATTTTGTGCGCTATTACGCCATGGTCACACTTGTCGAAGGCTTTTGCAAAGTCTGTATATATTACATCTGCATTCTTTTTGTCTTCTAGTGCATCTAGGACCTTGTCGTAGTGATCCAATAGTTGAGACAGACAGGAGCGACCTGTTCTAAACCCATGTTGCCCTGGGTTGTGTAACTGATGGGTTTCTAGATGGGTGGTGATCTTGCTTCTTAGGACCCTTTCAAAGATTTTTATGATATGGGATGTTAGTGCTATCGGTCTGTAGTTCTTTGCTGTTGCTTTACTGCCCCCTTTGTGGAGTGGGGCTATGTCTGTTGTTTTTAGTAACTGTGGGACGACCCCGTGTCCAAGCTCCCTCTCCATAGGATGGTAAAAGTTCGTGATAGGGGCTTCTTGCAGTTCTTGATGAACACGGAGTTCCATGAGTCTGGCCCTGGGGCAGAGTGCATGGGCATGTCATTTATCGCCTGTTCGAAGTCATTTGGCGTCAAGATAACATCAGATAGGCTTGTGTTAACCAAATTCTGTGGCTCTCTCATAAAAAATTCATTTTGATCTTCGACTCTCAGTCTGGTTAGCGGCTTGCTAAAAACTGAGTCATATTGGGACTTGAGTAGCTCACTCATTTCCTTGCTGTCATCTGTGTAGGACCCATCTTGTTTAAGTAGGGGCCCAATACTGGACGTTGTTCTCGACTTTGATTTGGCATAGGAGAAGAAATACTTTCGGTTTCTTTCGATTTCATTTATGGCTTTTAGTTCTTCCCGCGATTCCTGACTCCTATAAGATTCCTTTAGCTTAATTAAGTTCGATGCTTGCTATTTCTCTGACCAGTGTCTCCCTTTGCCTTTCAGATATATTGACCTCTTTTAGCCGCTCTGTTATTCTTTTCCGTCGCCTGTAAAGGGAGCGCCTGTCCCTTTCTATTTTACATCTACTCCTCCTTTTTCTTAGAGGAATAAGCCTTGTGCATACATCGAGCGCCACCGAGTTAATCTGTTCTAGGCATAAGTTGGGGTCTGTGTTGCTTAGTATATCTTCCCAGCTAATATCAGCTAGGATTTGGTTTACTTGGTCCCACTTTATGTTTTTGTTATTGAAGTTGAATTTGGTGAATGCTCCCTCGTGACTAATCTCATTATGTCGGTCTGGGGCTCCGCGCATACATGTCTGAACCTCAATTATGTTGTGATCTGAGTATATTGTTTTTGATATGGTGACATTTCGTATCAGATCATCATTGTTAGTGAAGATGAGGTCTAGTGTATTCTCCAGTCTAGTAGGCTCTATTATTTGCTGGTTTAAATTGAATTTTGTGCAGAGATTTAAAAGCTTGTGTGAGTGTGAGTTTTCATCAGAGCTGCCTCCTGGTGTTATTACTGCAACAATATTATTTGCTATATTCCTCCATTTTAGGTGCCTTAAGTTGAAATCCCCCAGGAGCAAGATGTTGGGTGCAGGAGCTGGCAGATTTTCCAGACAGTGGTCAATTTTTAACAGCTGTTCCTGGAATTGCTGGTATGTTGCATCCGGAGGCTTGTAGGCTACCACAATGACTAGGTTTTGGTTCTCGATCTTTACTGCTAAAACTTCCACTACATCATTTGAGGCATTCAGCAGTTCTGTGCACACAAGTGACTCTGCAATGTACAGGCCAACCCCCCCCCCTTTTGCCTGTTCACTCTGTCGCATCTATATAGGTTGTAACCTGGGATCCATATTTCGTTGTCCAAGTGATCCTTTATGTGGGTCTCAGTGAAAGCCGTGAACATTGCCTTTGCCTCTGCAAGCAGTCCACGGATGAAAGGTATTTTGTTGTTTGTTGCTGGCTTTAGACCCTGTATATTTGCAAAGAAGAATGTCATCGGACTGGTGGTATTGTTGGTACTGGTGGGGGGAAGGGGGGGGGTTCCGGCATTAGTATCTGTATCTGTTGGTTTGGAGTGGAGGCCATCGACTGTGGTTCCACTCCAGGAATGACTGGATTTGGTGTACGATTTCTGCCATTTCCTGCCAGTTTTTTTTTCTTCCTGGCACTAAAAAACCTCTCCCTCTTGAGTGGCTGTGGATACCCAGGTTTTCCCATGGCCTGGATGTTTTGTATCTTTTTGTCCCCTTTAGATGGTGTGCCTGGCAATTTAAGTTATAGCACAGCCTTTCCTGTACTGAAGAGGGACACATCTCAGGGTGAAAAAGCTTACAGGAAGGGAGTTTGCAATTTCCTGTTGTCATATGGGCACGGCATTTTCTAGGGTGGTCGTAGTTGCACGTCCCATCTGTTTTTCCAGATTTCCCATGTCTGCAGATACCAAGTGCATAGTATGTGCACAGGCTTGGTTTCCGTTTGCCTTGGACCCAGGAAAATAAGGAGATTAGTAGAAGAGCCAGAAACGAGTATGCACAGATAAGGAGGGAGGCCCAGCGACAGCACGAGAACGACATAACATCGAAAGTCAAATCTGACCCGAAACTGCTGTATAGCCACATTAGGAGAAAGACAACAGTCAAAGACCAAGTGATAAGGCTGAGGAAAGAAGGTGGGGAACTCACAAGAAACGATCAAGTATGTGAGGAGCTCAATATGAGATTTAAGGAAGTATTTACAGTGGAGACAGGAAGGCCTCTGGGGGGACAGAACAGAGGGGGACACCAGCAAGAAATATACCAACAAGTGTTGGATGACATACATACAAATGAGGAGGAGGTGAAGAATTGTTAAGGGACATTGATACCTCAAAGGGAATGGGACCGGACATCTCCCCGTGGGTCCTTAGAGAGGGAGCGGATATACTGTGTGTGCCACTTACCACAATCTTCAACACATCCCTGGAAACTGGGCAACTACCTGAGGTATGGAAGACAGCAAATGTAGTTCTCATTTTTAAAAAAGGAGACAGAAAAGAGGCACTAAACTATAGACCTGTGTCATTGATGTGTATAGTATGCAAAGTTATGGAGAAGATTATCAGGGTAGAGTGGTGTAGCACCTGGAACGGAACAAGATTATAAATAACAACCAGCATGGATTCATGGAAGGCAAATCCTGTGTCACAAACCTTCTGGAGTTTTATGATAAAGTAACAGAAGTAAGACACAAGAGAGAGGGGTGGGTTGATTGCATCTTCTTGGA